TAAAAATCTTTATATAAAAATCTTTATATAAAAATCTTTATATAGTTTGCATAACAATGGTCTTTTGTTAAAGTGTTCTGTAGCTGGTATAAAGACGTATGCACGTGACTAATTTCTTACTCAAGATTGGGTAATTGCTTCATTAATTAATTACATGAGTTTTTGAAGTCTTGTATAACGTTGTATGGTGTCGTATAGCCTTATATATTGTTGTATAGTCTTGTAATCTTGTATAACGTTGTATAGTGTCGTATAGCCTTATATAGTGTTGTATAGTCTTGTATATATACTGTTGTATAATGTTATAGTGTCATTTAGTGACATATAGCCTTATATAGTGTTGTATAGTCTTGTGTAACTTTGTATAGTATCGTATAGCTTTATATATTGTTGTATAGTCTTGTATAGCGTTGTATAGTGTTGTATAGTGTTGTATAGTGTCGTATAGCCTTATATAGTATTGTATTGTGTCGTATAGTGTTGTATAGTCTTGTATAATGACGTATATAGTCTTGTATAATTAACTTTGTATAGTGTCGTATAGCCTTATATAGTGTCGTATAGTGTTGCATAACGTAGGATAGGATAGGATAAAACTATTTGACTACGCTGGCCACTTCAACCGGAGCTGCTTTCCAAGTGGGGCGTAGATAAATTATGTTACAAAAATATATAAAATACAAAATCACTAATAATATTAAGAACTACGAATACAAAATACATATTACAAAACAAATGGTACAATAGTCAAATAGCTCATTCGTCAGACTAACAGAGGAAATATTTCTATTGAAAGAATTTAAAGATTCGCTGTTTCTTACTTGTTCAGGAATGCTATTCCAGATTTTAACCCCATGGCGAAAACATTTTCTGCCATACTCGGTATTTGGTCGTGGCAGAAAGAAAAACGAATGTGAACCTCGTAAATCATAACTGTGGATATTGTTAGAATTCTGGAACATGGATGAGAACCTCGACGGTGCCAAATTATTGACAACCTTAATCATGAGCCGGGCCATAATATGTTTTCGCCTTTCTTCCAAGCTTATCCACCCTAATTGATCAAGGACCAGTTGAGATTGCCCAGGCTCATCTTTAAAGTTCATTAAAATTCTAGCATATCTGTTGTGAAGTTTGTGTAGTCGTTCAGACTGGCCTCTATTAATGGATTTCCAAACTTCACAACAGTAGTCGAAATGGGCTTGGACAAGACCATAATAGACTGACTTCAAAGTATCAGAATTAGTGAAATCCTTTATCTTTTTCATGGCACTTATTCCAGAAGATAATTTTTTCGAAATTTGGTCAATATGACTGTCCCAAGTTAAAAATTGATCAATTTTGACTCCAAGAGCTTTTGTAACTTGAACCCCTTTAATTGGTTCATGGCCAATAAGAACGCGCGATTGTTCTTCCAACGTGTTAATATTGTGGCGTGATCCAATCAAAAGATATTCCGTTTTGACAAGGTTAAGAGAAAGCCTGTTTGATAGAAGCCATTCTCTGATATTATTGAGATCAACATGAACGGCCACCTCAGCTTCCTTAATTGATTTACCAGACACTGTGATGTTAGTATCATCGGCGAACATACGTGCTGTAGAGTGTTGTAAGCAGTTCGGCAAATCATTGATATAAATTAAAAACAGAAGTGGACCCAAAATTGAACCCTGAGGAACTCCATATTTTAGATATTTTAACGTGGAAAGTTCCCCATTTACTTGACATTGCTGAGATCGATCCGATAAGTAAGATTTGAAAGTGGTGTATAGTCTTCTATAGTGTAGTATAGTGTAGTATAGTGTAGTATAGTGTCATGTGTAGTCTTGTATAACGTTGTAAGCCACTGCACGTGACATATTATGGTTGACATGATTTGCCAATAAGCTTATGAATTATTAGTGAGTGTTTGAAAGTAATGTATAACGCTGTATAGTGTTGTATAGTGTCGTGTAGCCTTAAGCCTGGCGCACACGATGCGATTTTAGTCGGCCGATAAAAATCGTTTGACTAAAACTAACAAAATCGTTGTGTGTGCGGTGTCATTTTTGACCGATTTTTGTTGCTCGATTTTAATCGGACAACATCAAAACGTTTTGATATTATACGATTTTTATCGGTGGAATTTTAAGTATAACCAATCAGATTTCATGCTGTGATCACGTGCTTGTATTTATTTGGCAACATGGCGGCTACAGTTCAGGGAGCATATTTTTTTTCGTAATCGTGTGCGGAGTATACCGATGTATATCGGTATGTCAAACGATTTTTATCGGCCGACTAAAATCGCATCGTGTGCGCCAGGCTTAATCGCACAGAATAACACCAACTGATATATAATAGTTCAAATGGAATGATAAGTTACCTCTTGAATTACTGTACGTCTCAAAAACTGTGTTGGAAATTTAAATGCTGACCCATTACATTACATAACATAACCGTTTCACATCGTTGCATGTATAAAACATTTCGATCGCATGGATAAAAGGAATTATTTCTCAGCCCAGAGACATAGCCAAAAGACTTAACGAAAAAAAGAGCATTAACGTCCTTGTAATTTTATTGAGATAGAGCCAGAACTGAGCATTTCAGAAAGCTTTATCTGTACCTTCCCAAAGTTGTAGACAAGATATGCTGTTTATGTCCAACACGCATAATATAACATAACTCAAAATTATTCGAGCAAAACCGGTCTTTTGTTAAAAGGAAGACTGGTTAATAAGTTCTTTGTATGTTTGCATGGCGATAAAACATATAATAGTTTTGTTTGTGGAAACACCACGTAAATTTATTACTGCAAACTGAAGACTGGTTAATAGAAATTGGTCTTTTTGAGTGACATAATCGTTTGTCGTCATCGACCGTGTCGTTGAACAATGAAAAAAGTTGTCGTGAAATTAGTGAAGATAAAATTGCAGTTTGTGAGAAAACTGCAGGTCTATAGAGCGGGAACTTTTCGGATTTAAACTCAGCGTGTTCGAAAGTGTTAGTTCTCGTAAAAATATTTCTGTTCCAAGGCACTTTTCGAGGTCACAGCATACGGCCTATTATGACTATATTCAATTTTAATTTTTCGATACGTTTTTCATTCGGCAAACAAACTTAAAAAGTATGTTTAGTCCTTTATCTGTAAAATTAGGCTAAAATGAAGAGATTTTAGATGATACGCCAAGGAGAAAATGATGTCTGCATGAAGTTCATAAGTTTTGCTTTATATATTGCTGTAAATATGGCGTCAATTTTAAAGCATCATTGATAATTGTATTTTAATTGACAATTTTTAACTATTCTCAAACGCCATGCAGATGCATTTAAAAAGGTTGCTAACTCTATAAACTAGAGAATAAAGCTAAAACAAAGTAATTTTGCGAGGAACGCGAAGAAGATTTTAGGTTTTGAACACTTTTCATTGCAGTGACATTGAAAAAAATTGCCTGTTAAATTTTACGGCTTATTGCAGCGAGAAATGATGGGGGAAGTGTTTATTAATTAATAAAAATGTGTTAAAATACTTTTTTTGAGATTGTAGATTTGACCAGCTAATCGGTCGGTCATGTGACCATGTCAGGCCATAAATGATTGAACAAAAGGCATGAAAATTTGATAGGACAATAATGTCCAATGACTCGCGGCACTAACTTGCAGGCCTGGTATAAAAAAAACTTTCAACGGTTTTGTAGATGGAAATTTCTAGTTGGTAGATTGCCAGATGGCTTATAGTTGTACTTTTCGCAACTGCTCCTGTCTAAATAGATATATAAAAAATTACACTCGAAATTTCCATCTACGAAACCCTTCAATATTAGATTAACGAGTATCCCAAAATATCCTAATATAAAGAAACTTTAACTTCAATTTGAGTTATACCAACAAACTGTACATTAAGAAAGCTTGTTCGGCAATATTCCGTGGCATCTGGCTTTCATACAACCGGCCCCAGGTGAATAGCCATGGACTTTTGTAAAGGAAATGTTGCAGTAAACGGTCTTCACATATATTAAAAGTTGTTTCAAATAAGATAATCTTCTTTGTATTGCAGGATGGCAGCATGTGAGCAAAGAAGATCGCAACTGTTTTCAAAGCAAGGCCGGACCAATCAGTTCAGATCAAGAGAGCAGCGAGATGAATGGATCAATAATGAACTGAGGTCTTTAGCAAATGCTATTTCCACAAAGGAATCCCATATCCACGGTCTGCGGGAGGCGGTGCAACAGTTAAACGCTTCTAAAGATAGCAAGACCAAAGAAATGCGGGTAACGTTATTGCTACTTTTATCCACAAAATATCCCGGTGGGTTGGGGTCACTATACCCCCCCCCCCCCCCCCCCCCCAAACCAATCTATCACAAGGGCTTGGGGCCACAACAATGGCTATTGATTTTATTTTCGTGGTGGTAACCGGTCTTTGAATGGAGTCTAGGCACGAGGGTGTAGGGACCACTTGGCGAACCAAAACTAGCAGCCTGTTGTTGAGAATCAGATTTTGACTACGCTACCATTAACCAATCAGATGCGTTTTCTAACTGATTAACCAATCAAATACATAGCCAGTGAGAGGTAGCGGTAGTGTAAGTCTCGTCTTCGTCTCAGTAAACGTTGAGACTCGGGAAAACAAAACTATTTCCCTCACGAGCAGACATTAAGTGTATGTTGTCACCCTCGAGTTGAAGCAATTGTTTCATGTCCACTTAAGAAAATTCACGAATTACTATATAGCAAATAAATGTACAACAAAAACATTGAATTATACATTTATCAACCGCATATGTTCATAATATTTGTTATGCTCGTACAAGCCGTTAATGCTCGTGAAAAAATAAACAGTAAAACCTAACGATTGCTGCATGGCCAGCAGACGTTTTGCCACCGTGGGGCGTCGGTGGCACACGGCAGTCGTCAGGGAAAGCGCCTTTTACCTCTGATATCATAAGTTTGATTCCCGTTCCGGACACAAAACACGTGAAATGAGTCTGTCAATCCTCTACCGAAAGTCGTGGGTCTTCTCTGGTTTCAACCCACAGGGAATGTTGACAGGGTGGGTTAGGATACTAAGAAGTAGATTCACCAGCACATCAGTATTAGCCTGATGGGCCTGTTAAAGGGTATTGACAACATAATTTAAGTATGTTTAGAATGAAAGAACTAAATTTCCTTTTTCGAAAACCTTTGGACTCTGAGATGCTGACCATCAAGGCAACCTAAATTATTTTTCAAAGATTTTTTTAACAGCTTAGAATCTGAACTCCTACCACCCGACCCTTACCATCAGCAAGACCCTGCACCCTGCCAAAGGCAGTGTAGGTGGCCAACCAAAAGGGCGATGAGAACCTCCTTCCTCCCTACCATATCCGGTTCCATCCCTGCATTGTATAATGCCGAAAATATACAGCGTCATTCTCCCCAGTATAATGTGTAGGTAAAAACAATAAACTTCCCCGGTTCAGTCTCAACTACCTGTGAAAAAGTCTATAAAAAAAGACTTCGACAGCCAACAAATTTTCTGAAGACAAAGTCACATTTCACACCGTTCTCGGCTGTCCATGCTCCCAAAAGCACTGTAAATACTGAAAATGGCGGGCAAGGTGAATAAATTGAAAGATTTGTGATATTGGTACCAGTCTCATGCATGTGAACCACTGATCTGAAATAAGACTGGATAACGCATCTATAGTATACAAAGTGAAGCCGAAAGTCACCGGCCGCCACCAGATTCTGGGGCCCCACTTTTGTAAAGATTTGTATTACAGACGGTAGTTTTTCGCGTTTTTAGTGTGGAGTTTCACTTCACACTGTTGTGATGGCAGGCGAATTCACACGAATCAGTCAGTCAGTCAGTCAAACAGTCAGTCAGTCAGTCATAGAGTAAACTTTCCGGGGGGTGTATACGATTTATGTTCGCAGTGATTTATTGTACTTAGTCAGTGCTTTGAAGGTTATTTAAGCAA